GCTGTCATGTGCTAACACCGACGTGCGTCAGCATCCTGAATAAGTTTCCTGCTTTAGCTATAAAACAGCCAGAGCTGGGAAGAGCCCTGCCCGAGCTCAGGCAGTGCAGGGACATAAGAGATTAACCGCATTACCCATCACGTCCTTTGCTTCTCTGCTGAGCTCACACCACCCGAGGTGCCTCTCGCCCTGCCAAAGCGCAGATCCTGCCCCTCTTCAATCACTTCGCTCCAGCCCTTGACCAGAAGGCAAATGGAAAAGCTTTTGGTAACTTCCAGCTGATCTTGGCTGGGAATGAGTGACTCACAAAGGAAAAAATTCACTGCCGATTCCTTCGCAATCAAAGGTCAAGCAAAGCTCACACTGGGACCTGCGGAGAGGCTTTCCACTGTCTCACCAGCAACGGCCTGGGCACCAGGCTCCTTATTCCATCCTTGTTTTTGTTTAGGAAGGCGGACTTGAAGGCTATAAATATTGTTACACATCTGGCCAGGCATGCCCGAATGGAAAGTCCATCTCGCTGAAGGTAAGTGGCTACAGGAGAGAGGAGCCGTCGCCCCTGCCTCCCGCCGGCCTCCGGCGCTCACCAGCTCCAGCTTCCCTCCCCGCACCGCTTTCAGACGTCAAGCCTTGGCCATCTGCAAAGCTGCACTGTAGGTGTGAAGGACAGTTTTCCCTAGTTCCAGATGGTGCGAAGCCTTCATAAGGCTTGGCTCATTTTCCCTAAACATGCCAGGGTCTTCTCGTTCCTCCCCACACGCAATGATCCCGCTGCCCCCGTGTGCCGAGCTCTAACTGCGCCCATTATACTTCCCTTCCACAAATATTATTTCACTCGGGGCTTCGCTCTCCAAATCGCACGATCTTCTGGAATTTGCCACCTTCACGTGGAGGCCATTCCTTCCAAAATACAAAGTCTATAAAAGCGAGGACTGCTGCTCGGGGGGTGGGGGACAAGGGAAGGGATCGCACATGAAGGCAGAAGGACTGCGACCATCCTATCGTCTTCCCCTCTTGCACTAGGCCAGATGATTAAAACTGGGCTGCTGAAATAAAACCAAGTTCTAGAAAATGCCAAAACTCCAGGTTTCAATAGGAAAAAGTTATCTACTTGAATAGAAAAACAAGACAGACATGCCAGCATTTTCAAGCCAAATTTTATTTACTTAAGAAGACCTTAATATGCTTTGTTTGCAGGGTGGGAGGGAGAGATATTCCCCTCCTCTTAGTTCACATTGAGTCAGAACAGTTCCTCTGTTCACGCTGACACCACGGCAATAAAAGAAAGAAAACAAACATTAAACGTGAGTCCTCCTGTACCAGCTAAGGTTTTAACATTTAAAATGAGTAAGCTTTTTAAAATGTTCATAGTGCTGCTTGCTGCAACTCGGCAATGTTTGCTGTACATACATCTGCCCAAAAAAACAGAAGAGCTACTTAAGAAATGCATCGAAACTATTCTTTACTTTTAGAAGCAGATGCCCAGGCACAGAATTCCTGTTGACAAAACTACTCAACATCAGTAAGTGGAAGAGGGCAAAGGTACTTAAACCTGAACATCCCGACAGCAGGTGGGATCCAGGGCAATGCTTGCTCTGCGTACGTAACTGTACCAGGACGCTTGTCTGCTATTCCCAAAATATGCTTGCAATCTGCATCTAGGAATCATAAGCGATAGGATTCAGAAACAGGCATAAGAAAGCATAGGATTCAGAAACAGGCACGGAAATTGCTGCTCAAGTACACACACGCATAAAGAAATAAATGCTTTGCACTAGTTGATTAAAACGGTGGATGCTAGGCTGTAACGAAAAAGGCCAAAATAATTGATTCTAGATAGTGCTAGATATGCAAAACGTAGTAAGATACAGAAATTCTTCCTTCTTCACAGAAAGTTTACAAAGCAATTACAGGATTTAACAGTATGATTAACGAAGGCCCTGATTACCTCCCAAGGAAACCAGTGCCAGGGAGAAAGTCAAAGAACTGCCATTTTGTTTGACATCAGAGTAAGTTTAGAGCTTTGATGTTTCCATTTACATTTTTGGTTCGTTTCCATTAGATTTTGAGGTTGTTCTGATGCTGAAAATTCTAACAAAACTGCAGGAGCCCTGGGTTTGTGGAAAGAAGGTAAGTTTGCAAGATGCACAATCACCTCACAATAGCTGCTGAAGCTTTGCTTTCTGAATAAAAAACAAAAACAAAAAAACAACCCAAACCAAGACAAAATAACCCCAGTGCCAGGGAAGACACTGAAGATGTCCGAGAACCAAACCTGGTGCAGCAGAAAGGCAAGCTGCAAGACCACTCTAGTCATCAGTCATCACACACTGTCTTAATCCACAGAAATCCGGGCAGGTTTAGGTTCCCAAGCCTTTTCTTACCTGAAGTAAGACTTCACCTATGCCTGAAGAAGAAACTTGGGAATATGTATTTGTAGAAGCAACGGATGCACAGCACCTTCATTACAATACCGTAAACTCAGGTTAAAACACATTTTCAGCTGAAGAATCTCACAGCTACGTCACTCAGTCTAAACTATTTCTGCATATTGAACACTTTGCTTTGGAGACGAGAGTCTAATGAAATTCTTAATTTCATCGGTGACACCATAAGCCAATCATCAAATGAAGCTAACTTATTCTGAGCTCCCAAAGAGGATGTCAAGAATTTGCTGTTTCCTTCATGGGTTCAATCTAAGGAGTCAGTGTTTGTGTAAACAGAAGAGATGACAGCCCTCATCCCCATTCCTGCTCCTCCCCATGCCGGAGACATGCCCAGCAGCTGCACGTCTGCTGAGACCTCTCACAGAACATGCACGCTCGTGTGCTGAGCACTCCCTGTCCATGGCATTAAAAGATGAGGAGAGAAGCAGTAGGAAGCATTTCCTCGACCCAATGTACGTGTAAGAGCAAGCCCTCCCCTGCACGCTTGGAGCAGTGTGGTATGCATGCATGCACGTGGGATGTTCACTACACACCCTGAGCTGCTGCTTTTTAAAATACACCTAGATTCCTCCAAAAAGAGCTCTGCATCTTCATTTGGGACTTATTTCTATGCCAAGTTTCACAGTTCAAACCCTAGTGCTTCGCTTATATGGGATAAATGGTTTTTATTTGCTTTAATATCCCCCCCTGCTTTTTTCATGAGCCATAAAGGAACTGAAGAGCTCAAAGTTCAAAGCCCAAATATGAGGCTATGAATTTTAGTTTTCTGGACAAAATAATAGCTTCCTTATACCTACAGTCCCTGCACTTAACACAGTTGCCAGTTTCTGAAAGTTGCTTTAATCTAAGAGTCATCTAAATGTAGACTGACTTACAAATGCAAAAAGTATGTTTTCCCAAAGAAAGTGCATCATAATTACATGTTGGTATACCATCTTGGGTTTATTTCATATGTGAGATATCATGGGGCTTATTTCTATAATGTACTGGCTTATTTTTATTGAAATTGTGGGCATGATGACACACTTACTACTATGGGAAATCACCTTGCAGGCCATCCTTTTTCACACAGGATTGTATCATTCCTATTTTAAGTTTTTCATCTAGCCAAGCTTACACATTAGGGGAAGAACTTCATTACCTAATGGTCTAGATATACTGTGCTAACTGGCTTCTCAAAATTAGATCTCGACTTCCTTCTAATGCAGACTTACCAGAATCAGTCCCAGTTTTGACATAAAAGAGAGAAAACCCATCCCGATCATCAGTGCTTAGAGCTCGCCCATTAAACCTGAACGACCCTTCCTTATTTTTAATAGACAAATATCTATAGGCACCACGTGCAATTGCAAGGAAATAAAGGAAATAGTTGTCACGGATATTTCCCATCCTTTCCTCCTGAATGTACTACATGAACTGCAAATGCTGCACCTGTTCTTGTGCTGTTCGTGCACAAATGCCTACACAGACATGTGTATACATCTATAAATACATACGTATACACACATGTATACACTTATGCATCCATACGAGTGTATATAAAAATATAGTTACACACATGCACCTCCCCACACCTTTGTCCTGAAGAGAACACTGAGGACACAGGCATTTGCTGTCCATCAGTCTTCAAACAGCAACTGTTCTTAGAAACCCAGGCTCATAGCCGTGTTTGAAAAGTCTGTAAATAATACACCATTAACTTTTAATCCTATCTTCCCCACTCTGCCATGTATTTTGAATTAAAATGAAAGTTATATAAGGTTGAATTGAGGTTGCTTTTTAATATTACATTAACGCTATTTACCATGTGCAGCGCTAATCCCCCTTTGAAAAGGGAGCATATTAGCAATTCTGAAAGCTTATGTTACCATAGCAATAGTCTATCACTGTGAAATATTTATATAATGTCTAACGTTTTCACTCGGCAACAGCCATCTTCTAAACTGTACTTCCTACTTACCCTGTGTGCTACGCTTCCCCTGCGTCCCAGGCGGCAGAGCAGTGCAAAGCCCCCGGCCGGTGCCTGACCTCGCACTGTGCAACCCCCCAAAATCTCACGGGGTGCAGAGCTGCCTGCACCCGCTGCATCCGCGCTCCCTACTCCTGCGGAGGCACTCGGATCCCAACGTTCCGGTCGCGCCTTGTGATAACGGCACACGTCCAGCGAGCAGTTTGCATGCCGTTCTACTCCCAAATACATGAAATTAGGAACAGGCAATCTGAAAGCCCTCCTGTTGGGTTAAATTCTACTGAAATTTCCCGTATCCAAGGAAAGCCAGCCACCTGTTGGTAGAGGGGCGCAGCACTTCTGAATATATGCAGACGGGTGGATAATGTTTAACCTGACACCAGCTCCCCTTGCTCCCTTCTCCTCCACCCTATCCCCCTTTTAAACCCTGGTGTTCGCATCCCTTTACAAGAGCTCCCTCTCTTAACAGCGGTTACCAAGTCCAGCCCAGCATCTCCACCCCATGAATAAGCAAGTTGGTGCATCTCCTCCTGGTAAGGGGATGCTTGCACACACCACCCGAGGCAGCGCTGCCCACCACTTACTTTGATGTGCTCGTGCAGCTGGGCCTCGTGCTGCCGGGAGAGCTGCTCGTGCTGCCGCTGGAACTCGGCGATGAGGATCTGCCTCTGGATCTGCTGCTTCTGCTTCAGCGCCAGGAGCTCTTGCTGAAGCTGCTGTTCCCGCAGCGTCGGCTCCGTCACGGGCATGGAAAACTGGTGGTCCAAGCGCAGATCCATCGGGACTGAAGTCGGTGCGACTTGCAAGGGCAGTGCTGTGGTCACATCAACTACAACGTGGAAACAGAAGAGGGGAGATGAGTCTAATTCCCCATTAGCACAGGGATCTAGTTCTCATCGCGTGTCCAGCAAAGACCTTGAGGGACCATGGACTGGCTCAAGAACAGCACCATTAAACTCGCACCATTTTTGAAATGGTAAAAAGACATTACAGGATTTCAGAGGTCAAGAATTTTCCTCCAGCCACCACCTCCTACAACTACGTGTGTTTTTGAAAAGCAAAGGACATCAATGCCTTGCGCGTGACCCTTCTTGAATCCATTCCACACCTGTGTATTCAAAACATACACCTCCACTCCACTCTTCCAGAAACACTTGAAGGAAGAAGGATAAAGATTAATCTACAAATTGACAGAAAGGATCGATCTTGAGTTACGATGGATTCAGCTGATGGACCCCTGTGGCCAGGAACCTCAGGGTCCCATTTTAAACTTATGCAGAAAACCACCCCGTGCTGTATCCTTTATAACCAGTTTTGGAAAGGAGCTAAGCCAAAACCAAACGGGTAAGGAAACATCTAAGAAAAACTGTTCAGTGCTCCAGTGACAGACTGGACTCCCTCACTGCAACCACCAGCGAGGGGCAAACACATCTCGCGGGCAGCGACGGGAAGGAGGTGCCCAAACAGTGACTGTGCAAAGATTTGCCTCTGTTGTTCAAACTCCAAGTGGGACGAACCTGAAGCACAACCGAGAGCCTAAGGTAGAGAACAATAATGTGTACCAAGAGGACCTGTAACTCAGCTTCATCCTAAGAGACATATGCTAAGAGAAGAAAAAAGGGAAAACTATCACCTTGATTATCTGTGTAGTAAAGAAGAGTTCTTTGCTTACACAAAAAGCATCTCCCTGAAGACAAGGGGCTGGTTGTAAAAAAGGGCAACAACAGACATCTACAAATCTTTGCAATAACTGAACTCAGCTTTTTTCTGCCAAAAAAAAAAAAAAAAAATCACTGCCATCCCAGTGATGACTAAAACTTTCTAAATTCTACCTGAATGACAGTTCTGCATTTCACATGTACTCTGTACATTTGCAACATTTAATGCCTCTCTCTACAGGGCAATCACTCAATAACTCTCTGATACCTTTGAATGAACATCATGTGCAGACTAAAAGAGGCTAACCCTTCAAAAACATTGAGCTTCAACAAAATTGGAAAGGTTTGGGGTTTTTTTCCCCTTGGTTGGCTGGGATTTTTATTTTATCTGGTGTTTTCTTTTTTAATATTTAAGATGTGTTTGCGGAAAGTTGGGAGGGAGCATCAGCAGCACCCCCGGAGCTGTACCTCTGCTAAGACACTTACTTCACATGGGGGGGGGGGGGGTGTTACCTGGGGTTTGCCTGTGAGCGCTCAGGGGGGGAGAGATGCCGCCCTACTACAAAACCATCAGTACAAGCCACCACGAGGCCAGCCCCGGTAGGACAGACATCCTTCCAAAGGAAAAGGAAAGGCAGTTTTCCTCAGCAAAAACTGATTTCGCCCTGCCTACAAAGGGACTAACGGGTGAAATAAACTCTAAAAGTAAAAAGCATGGAAAATGTTTATGAATTGCAAAAGGCTTAAGGAGAAGTTTTCCCAAGATGTACCACCACCTCTCACTACCTGCATGCTGCCCATGAAAACAGTACTTGAAGAGGAACTTTCATTTTATACAAAATTAAACCTTCTTTCACCTCAAGCCTGATCATGGAACCCTAGCTCTGATTTCAGCCACCTCCTCAAGGACACGAGACGGGAGCACAGAACAAGTTGACTCCGTCCTTCCAAGCAGCATATCCTCACAGGTCACCTGAAATCAATCGTAAATTGTTCGAAATAAATGAGGACCCGGTGCTGAACACAGCACACAGCTCTGGTCACACAAGTCACTTCACTGCCACCCTTCCGTGCCATCCCCCAGAAAGAGCCAAAGTGATACCCAGCAAATGCCCACACATAACCTCTACCAGGACATTACTATCATCCATCCCAGAGAAAGAGTTTTAATAGAGTTTTCCCCAAATGCTACCATTTATTTATTTTTGCCAGTAATTGAGAAATGTGTAAGAAGATATAACCTGAAGTTAAATAGAGGCACAGAAAAATAAAATAAAATAAAATAAAAGTAAAATAAAATAAAGTAAAATAAAATAAATAAAATAAAATAAAATAAAATAAAATAAAATAAAATAAAATAAAATAAAATAAAATAAAATAAAATAAAATAAAATAAAATAAAATAGTGAAGCAATTCAGAAAAATCTGGGGTGTTTTGTAAGGTGGCCCCACGTAAAACAAAATGCATTGCCCTGCTGCCAAGGGCAAGGCCACAATTCAGGGACGGGGATCGCTGGAAAGCAACTCCATCCTAGACAGCAGCTCCTTGGAAAGGGGGATGCTGAGGAAAGTGGTGGGGTTTTAAAAACTCACAGCCAGGCCAATGCTGTTGGGGCTGAAGATGGAGAACAACAACAAGAAAAAATATTCACATACCAAGAGATGAATATAAGAGATGTTGCTTGGTCTATGCAAGACCAATTTCAGGGAGAACGTCTTCACTTCTTCAAAAGCAGAGAAATGCAGTTTAGTAGAGAAGTATAGTTCAGTGTAGGAAATGGAAAGCGCAGTTAAACAAACAAACAAACAAAAACCCATTACTTTTCTTTGAAAAGAAAGATGCAAAAAAGAGCGGGGAGGGTGTTACAGAGACAAAATTATGTGCGTTGAGTTCCTGAAGAAGAAGAGGGGCCGCGCTTCCATGCGCCCCACACCTGGTCATTCCTCTAGAAACCCCGGGTGCCCGTGCCCTTCTCCGAGGCCGGGAGAGCACCTCTACCCACCGCTCACCGCGCCCAGGGCCACGCCAGCCCTCCTGCCCGCACCCGTGGGTGCAGGGGCTGCCTCCTCCTGCCCCCCGCCGCCGGCTGTGCCGCACACGACCCCCCCCCGGCGCAGGCAGCAGGGCTGCAGCAGCACAGTACGCACGCACGCAGGAGCGGCGCGCTTCCCCTTCCCAACGCTTCCAACAGGGGAGGAGGCGGCTTTTATTTTTTTTTTTTTTTTGGATGGAAATATTTTCTGCAAAAGGTCACATTACTGGAAGTGTTGCTATTTTTCAACCCACATGCTTTTCCCCTCCACTTCCCTATTGTTTTCCTTCCTGTGGCCTTTCTCTCCCCCGCAGGCCCAGAGCTGGGATTCCTCGCCGCAGGTCACCACGCCACAGCCAAGGATTTCGGAGAGAACACCACGCTCTCGCCTATAGATAAACCATTCAAACCTGCTTAAACAACATATTCCCAAGCCCTCCTCGGGAACGGCCGACGCTTTCCTACGTGGTGGGTACTGTGGTCAGCCCCTTCCCGTTCCTGCCCACGGAGCATCCCTATGGCAACTGCTGCAGCCGCTCGCACAGAAAAAACTCTCCATCCGTCTTCCCCGCACGCAAGTAGGAGCTGACAGCTCAAAACCAGCCCTGCGGAGGCTATCTCGTTTCACGGACCGTTGCTTCAGAAACTTCTCAACTTAGATGCGAGGTTTTAAATTGGATCCAGGTTTGCCAGGATTTCAGAGTGACGGAAGAATGGTTTGGATTCCTCCAGCCCTGCTCAAGCTCAGGCAACCCCGTAACGGCCCTGTGTCTACACGGTACGCGCCCCAACAGCACGGTGTGGGGGGCAAAAGGTGAAATCTGCAACCATCAGGTGTCCCAAGGACTGTGAGAAATGGGATGTGTGCTGGAAAAGTAAGAGAGTAAAGTTTCCATGCCAGCAAAAAGCCCAGTACCAGGTTGGATGAATACGGAAAATGGGAAGAGAGAGAGGCAAAAAACACAAAACAAAACAAAAGCAAAAAAATAAATCACAGGAAAAAAAAACAAAAACAAAAAACAAAACAAAAACAACAAAGAGAGAATCTTAATGCAAATTAACACATATGTGTACAAAACAAACAAAAAAAGCCCCATAAAGCAATCCACCTTCAAGAATACAATGCACCATGGCAATCAAAAATCCTTTTTCACCATCTGCATACAGATACTATATCCTGAGCGTTACTAATGTAATTACTACATGTTACGAAAGACACACAAGTACCTATTCCTGGAATAGCAGCAATTTTATCAGGTGGCAGATCTAGGGGAACTCCACGTGGAAATGATGTCAAGTCCATAACTGGGCGAGCACTGGATATGGACATGAGCACGGCATTGCCGGAGCTCTCCTGTTACTCTCCCCCCCCACCCCAGATTTATTAGACAAACACCCCAAAGCTCCAAAACTCCCCAAAGATAATCCTGAGTATGATTTAATGCGACTTTATAGCCCCCAAGGCTCCAGGAAAGCTTGAAACAGTTAATCCTAGAGGATCAAACCCAATGAGTCAGTAAACCAAACAGCGCAGCGGGCTCCGTGAATCACAAGCCTTTTAAATGCACTGACTATTTTTATGTCCAGCCGAAGATTTCTGAGCACCTGGCAATAACATCTTCCATCTTTTATACGTGTGGGTTAAAGGTCAGTGTTACTAATACAGAGGTAGCACTCAACTGCTCCCGCTTACCCGGTCTCCACGTAAACCTGTTTATCTTCAATACAGCTCATTCAATTTGTCAACGCCGTTTAGGCTAAATGCAATTTTCCTTGAAATCCGCGTGTGTTTGCTTACACGCACCTTTATGATCCAAACACTGTGTTTCCAAAAAGCAGGAGACAGAAGCTTTCAACGTGTTAAAATAAACCCAAAATTTCAACCAGAAGGAATACACCACTACTTGTGATTACTACTACGGGCGATTGTGTCTTGTGATAAATGACTAGTAACAGCCTTAACTTGCACCGTGCTGGATAACAGTCCCGAGAAAACTTGACAAATCCCTTATTTCCCATCCGAAGAGACTCATCCCCCCCCCAAAACGCCTGACGTGCGGGCACGGGGCGCCAGCTGCAGCCATCACGACCACAATTCCCATTCAGAGCCTCGGCGGAGGCTGCGTCATCCCTGACTC